ACTTCGAAGTATAATTTTTTTATTGTTTTTATATTTTTCAATATATTTATTTTGTTCGTACAAAATAAAAAAATAATTTTTAATGATACAATAGTCTTCGTTAGACTTAACATCGACGAAAATTCAACGCAAAGTGACACACAACGGAGAAAAATGTCAAGATGGGATAAATTAATATATTTTTTCGTACATAATTGGTTATCCGAAAAATAAGTTATCCAAATAACCCCAGTCCCCAATTGATTTAGATAATCAACACTCTACTGTAATACAAGAGTGTCACACTTTAGACTGACTGAGATGAAACATTAGCAAGGTATAGGGGATATTTAAAAGGGAAAATGCATGAGACCAATCCCAAAACTATAGGCAAACTGAAAAAATCCTCCTCAGAAACATTGACCATATGTAAAATACTATGTCAATAACTTCAATCTGAAAACAATTATGCACACACAAAGTTACATACAGATGATACTGAAAATCATGTCCTTGTGTAAATTTCTGTATGTTTAAATAATGCTAAAATAAAGTTTCTAACAAGTGTCCATTTGCCTAAATTTGTATCTTTTCCAGTGAGTGGAGCCAATTTTATTTGAAACATCCTGTACAGTCCAACCCCCTATAACACTGTTGATTTTTCCGTTTTATATGAATTCCATGTTGTACGAGTCACTTAGATTTTACAAATAAGTGTGCCGGGCTGTGAACGGCTCACATATTTGTAAAATCTAAGTGACTCGTACAACATGTAATTCAGATAAAACGGAAAAATCAACAATCTTATAGGGGGGGGTCGACTGGTATCTGATTCTTTAAAAAACTGCATAATATAAAGTTTTACCAAACAGGCAAAATTTCCCGAAAATAATTATAACGTTTGGATTGGCATCAACAAAAAAAGTTATTGTTAGCCATATTTTTTCCTGAAACTAATCCCTAACAGCTGATATTTACTCTCAGAAACATATACATAAAAGATTACCATTTATCAAAAAAAATTATCAATCAGAACAAAATATTTTTTGTCTTAATGATTTTATAGCCTACTATGCAAAACCTTCACTTGCTTAACTGGATAAAAGTAACATTATTTTTATTCTAAAAGTGTTTAATCCTCAAATATACTTCAATTATATCCAATCAAGGGATTTTGGGTTCATATAAAAAGAAAAAGTTTATGCCTTAAAATTATTTATATAAAGTTATAATCAATTGAAATGAAGAATAAAAGCAAAGCTGAAAGAATTTGGCAAGATCTATTACAAAACACTTTTTGACAACAAGATCAAATTTCAATGGCTGCAAGTCATGGTCTATTAACACAGTCATCAACTAATATTTCAATGTAATTTTGTTGAAAGTATTTTACCAATACAGCACATTTCTATGCTAAGAAACTTTATCATCAGTTATTTGCAGACTGCCCCTCTATTTTTTATTTATAAAAAATATTTTTGAAAAAATACAAAAACTAAAACAAAATATTTTTATAAAGTATAGTTTTATTTATAATAATATAAATTTTTTATAAATAAAAACTATAATAAAAGATATAAACATCTCTGATAATATAAAATATTTATAGTTAACAAATCTTTATTGCTAAAATATTTACGTTTAGTAATATCATTGTAATTTATTTCGTAATATTTATCAAAATAATTTTGTAAAAAGGTGTTGAAAATGTTTATAAAATAACATAGAAACAGTGTAAAGAATTTAGCAAACTTGTTTTTAATAAATGAACAAACTTAGGCATTTCAACCTTGCTCAAATTTCTCTAGATAATGATGTATATGATGAAATTTAAACAAAGAAATTTGAGATCTATTTTAATTTTTCTTATATTACAGAAAGTAAACCTGAAACAAAAGTCAGAATCTGATACAAACTCTGCAAATAAAAATTTTTATATTAAACCTAATGTTGAGTTGAATAAGTATTCACTACAGTGTATAGCAGATACTATGTGTAACATCCATTTGCTGCATAACTTTTATTGAAATATTTGACATTATCAAACTATTACACTAGAGAATTTTTTGACTTGTTAGCCATATTCTTTATAGTTTAATGACTTATTGCTATTAATTTTAATCAACTTATTTATTTTAAATGCCATAACTAGCTTTTCATGTGCCTCATATAAGATTTTATTTTTGGCATCATCTTTTTTGGAAAAAAAAATGTGATAGAAATGGTTGGTTATTTTCTAACTTTAACCAAAAATTTTATGGAATCAACCTCCATAATAACAAAATTGAAAATAAAGATATAATATTATCATTTTTTGATATCCCTATCATTTTTCTCCTGGGCACTATGCCTTTGTACCTGTTGTACCTGCATAGTTATGGCTTTGTTTATTTCAATAACTCATTAAATAATAATTATATTATATAAGTATATCAAAATTAAAGTGTCTAATCTAATACACATTTTTATTTTTCTTTGCTATAAGACATATTTTATTATAGTAAGTATTTGTGTATTATATTACAATTTATTAAGTTTTAATTAGTGTATATCAGGATTATCTAAACTTGAATTTCAAGATTAGAAGTAAACCTAGCACAAGATTAATTTTATAATTGTAAGATTAGTCAAGATTAAATCCCTGAACAGTCTTTTCTCTTAGTTAAAATTTAAGATATCATATAACTGAGATGACATAAGTTAATTAATAATTATAATAATCAATTGCACATTAATCATATTAATACTTGTTAATTTTTTTATTTTTATAAAATATTTGTAATTTGCTTTTAAATTACATAAAATAGGAAAATTAATGTTAACATATACAGTTGACCCCCTATAACACTGTTGATAATTCTGTTTTATATGAATTCCATGTTGTACGAGTCACTTAGATTTTACAAATATGTGTGCCGGGCTGTGAATGGCTCATGTATTGTAAAATCTAAGTGACTCATACAACATGGAATTCATATAAAACAGAATTATCAACAGTGTTATATGAGGGTCAACTTGTACTACAAGGTAGAATCAAAAATGAATCAAATTTCAGCTTTCTGCATTATGTAATTGTGTTGGAGAGCATCAGGTTTTGTTTAAGTTCATGTTCAAGTTTCAGTTAAGAGATAAAAAAATAACACAGTGCACTTTAGTTTTTCCTGGTCAATAAGTATTGGCTAATAAAAGCATAACAATATTTTCATAACTACTTTATTCCCAGAGCTAGCTCCTGAGAATTTTTTTTTTATCTATTCCCTATAACGAAAAAAAAAAGTTGAAAAATCACAGATTCTAATCAGCAGCATAGGTGGAAGCTGTAATAAAAACCCTTAAAGACATCATAAAAATGGTTTCTAGGACTACTTTGACAATTGATATGGATGTTGAAAGTGTGTAGTTGTAGAAAACAACCTAGTTTGAAGATGGTGTAATGTAAAAGTTTGTGTATTATGTAGCAAAATGCATACCAAAAGTTAGTATATTTGTTAAATAGTTAAAAATAAATCTAAGACAAATTACTAAAAACAACAATAATGACAAATTTTATTAAATTCTAGAACAATTGTTCCCAAATTGGTCACTATCACCCCCAGGGAGTGGTAAGTAAAATCTAGTAGGACAAAAAAAAGCACGAGGGAAGCAGGACCAAACAGTGACTATAGGCAAAGATTTGGGTCATTGACAATCTTTCCTTTTCCTCTGTTAAAACAAGTAAGAAGAAACATTGCATTTAATGGTTTCCAGATGTTGATAGCAATGTTCAGTAAGGACACAAAGTTTGAGGATCATAGAAAAGTTTTTCTAAGAATTTTTCCAAGCCTTTCTTACACAAGGGAAAACATATTGGAATTGGGTATAAGTTTATGGAAGCAAGGAAGCAGTGGCTCAAAAAAGTTTGGAAATCACTGTTCTACAACAATATTTCATAAAATAATATCTGCAGTTCAAAGATTAATATTTGAATTCACAACTCTTTTCCATAAGAAACTAGTAGAAAAAAGCATTTTGTACATGAATTAGCAGAGAAATAATATTTTAATTTCTTTTAGCAACTTTTTTTTAGGATTTTATTAAGTTTATCAAATTCATTTAGAAATGTCTTCTGAAGGTGCAATTTTTGAGATTTTTCAACCCATTTGGGTTAGATCCCAAGACCTTCAGAGCAGAAGACCAATACCTTAACCACCTTGTCCATCTGGTTGGCATCTTAAAAAGTTTATATCATCAAATTTAAATGTTTAATGTATTATTTAACTTAAAAACACTAATAAAGATTAATAAGAGAAATATATATGTATTTATAAAATTGCTAATGGTTAAAAATACTGTATATTCTTTAATGTTTTAAAGAATCCTTATATCATTTGAAAAAAAACAATTCCTATTTAATTCATTACAAAAAAAAATTAAATTAAATTCTGAAATCTGCTTACAATTCCTTCTGGTTGTGTTTTCAATGTACATCGTATTTTACTTGTATTATTTCCTCCATTTGTCCCATTAACTCTACTATTTCCCTCTGCTGTAACTTGTACTTCTAGCTGAGCATTCTCTGTGTCGACACTCGAAACATCATTTTCTCCTTCTGAATTCTGATTAACGTCAACATTTTCTTCTTCACTTTTAGTATCATGTGTGTATATATATTGCTCGTCTACAACTTCTTTATTTGCTTCATCTGTTTCCACTAATTAATGCAAATGAAGATTTTAAAGTAAAAATATATAAAACATACTAGAATTTTATTTAATTACTCAATTTCAATTAAAATTTGACTCACCTTCCGCACGTGCAAATTTCACTTTCGCATGTTCTAACGAACAAACTAAAATTAATATGACGAACCATTCTATAATTCGATTCATCGAAGTAAAATTGATTAAGACGCTTAAATTAATAAAATTACATTACATATTTATAAAATACAACTCGACTCTTTCCGATACTTATTAGTTTCTAATGGAGGCCGCCATCTTTAAAGCTGTGTTTCTAATTATCGCCGGAAGAGGGAAACACTGCATATTATTATTTTTTTAATATTATTTTCATAAATTTTTTTTAAATTTAAAAAATACACATTTATTTTATTTTTTTAGAAAAAAAAAATATCAGTTTAAAATAAAAATAATGTATTAATTATTTTTTAAAAAAATACAAATTTTTACCAGTTTTTCCCATCTTTTTTGTATAAAAATTTGAATTATTTTTCATTATTTATCCAATTTGATAAATTATCGTGCATTCTAGAGGATTAATTATAATTTTAAATATAAAAAGAATTACTTTCCAATATAAACATTCATAAAATAATTCGTAGTGCCTCATTGATATCGTGCCAAAAAGAAGTTTGGATATAGCAATATAAAATGATTTATGTTTTCCAGGATATATCCTACATAATGTTTTATATTTTCTATTAAATTTGATAAATATAGGTTTATTAACCTCTAGAATTTTGATCTAGTTACCATGGATAGTAAAATAGGTTCAGACTGCTTGACCGATAGATTACTTTGATCGTTTAGAAAGGAAAATATTCTATTAATCAATCATGAGATAAACTAATTCCTATAACTATTTGTTTTTTAAGATAATTGAATTTTAAAATGTTTACGAATTATAATTTCCTATAGCAATTTTTAAATATAACAAAGTACAGTATTATAGAAATGATTTAATTGTTTACTGGGTCGATAGTTTGGATACAAAAATTAATACGTTGCTGTATTAATTAAATTAATATGAAATCTTATAAATTGGAACAAAAACAAGTTCTATAAGTTCGTGTGCATATAATTGTTTCATTTAAATTAATAGCTAAGTGCAATATACTTTTCTGCACTAGAATGTTGCAGAACAAATAAATTCGAACGCCGAAATTATGTTTTATACTTCTAAATATATACCTAATTTTAAAAATTTAAATGAATTTATCATTCATTCTTGCTCACTGATGGGATTTCCTGAACTTGTAATATCTATCATGCATTTTATGAACGTTCTAGTTCGTGCATTTGAGTAAGGACACCCGCTGAGGGGACCATCCATGACTGTATTTCCTGTACGATTTCAAGAAATAATGTACTTAGCTGTATTTTTGAAATGAGTAAGCGTTGAGTGAGCTTGGTTCTACTTTATTGGAAAGTTTTCTACTACGTTCTTGTATTCATATATTTTCTAGTCAGTGGTTTCCAAACTTGTCTGCCTGTTGTTCCTTGGTACCATAAACTCATTCCATAACGGCTGGATAGTCGATCCGGTCATTATGGAATGAAGCATCCGCCTACCGCTTTGAGAGGTCCGGGCGATCAATCTCGGAAATTTTTCTTGAGAAGTCCATCCTCGATATGCCCGACTCTATCTCTCACCGCCCGGTTGCTCCCATTTGGGCCTGGTCGAATTCAAACGGGCATGAGGAAAAAAATGCTTTCTTAGTGCCCACAGGATAATGCACCACTGAAAACTCATTCTACAAAAACTGTTTTTTTTAGTTTTTTGCGGTTCTCTAAAAGAAACAATTGAAGTATTTCTTTTAGAAACAATTAAATTCAATACATTGATAGTTCACTGCATATTTATATCTGATTAAACTTTTAAATGTTTCAAAATAAAAGTGATGAACTTAATTCAATGATTCATGTTTGTAAAAACTTGTATCATTTAGCAATAACCATGAATACGAAATCTTATACTTTCATCACTATTATTATGTTATTTAATGTGATGGATGGACTTGATCATTTCTTAATGCCTAGTCACTTAACAAGTTTGAATCGCTACTTTCACTAATCTAGCGTTGATTGAATGAAAAGAGGTTAGATAAATACACTAAAAACGTGTTGTATCAAATATGAGAAATGAATTTTTTAACAGATTAATCTGTTGTTGCAATTATTCAATAGATATTTACGCATAAGTGATAACATTATATTACACATTATATAACTAATCGTATCAATCGTCAAATGATCAATCATAAATAAACCGGTACTCGGAAGGGCCCATTTCCAGCGCTCCTGTTACCCACTTAGGTAATCTGGCTATCTTCCAGAAAACGGTAAAACCCGCTTTGGAGACCCCTAATCTAGTCTAATGATTTATGAAAACTAAAAAATTCGTTATCAGTTTCAGTGGGCTACTTCATTATACCTACACGATTCCATTACAGTCAGCGAATCCATTGATTTGTAATCATATCTTAACTTTTTCCAGCCACAGCCCCCTTGGTTCCATAAACTTATACCCTACGCCCCCAAGCGTACCTCAACGCCTCCTAACTAGTTTTTCCTTGTGTAAGAAAGGCTTGGACATATTAGAAAAAATTTTCTATGAACCTCACATTTTGTGTTCTTACCGCACCCCCTGCCGCTCCCTTAGAGGCGGTAGCGCCCACTTTGGAAACCACTACTTTAGATCATAGCCTTTTTAGAAAATTTTTTCATTCTACTACATTAATTTATTATTTAATACCCTTTACTACAAGCTTTTAAAGTGTTTTTTATGACTTAAACTCGAAAATGAGTGATTTTTTCTTGTAAGTTTCCGTTTAGTTGTTTTCTCCTTGAACTCTTTTCATGTAGGCCCTACTTTAGATTTACGAGATTCTAAAAATCTGTAAACAATTTCTGCAATATTCCCACTCTTACAGACAGGTTATAAAGGACACTTTTTTACCGTCTAACAAAAAGGAAAGCGAAAACATGGAAAACTTAGTAGTCACTTATTCTACGCTGTCTATCTTAAAAATGTTTTATTTGATTAATTAACCTTAGGTTTTGCGTATAAACTTACCAAATCCGAAACATATAGTGATATTAATTAATATATAACATTTATTAGATATTTTAAACACGTAATTCATTCTTGTTTAATGTATTACGCGCGGAGTCGATTTGCACATAAGCTAAACAAGTTGCAACTTAGGAAGGAACTCGCGTTATGTGTAGTCTATGCCTCACATTTTGACATGTATCACGTATCACATCCTGTACATTATTTAGTAAAGGGGGAAAGCCTATTATATGTTATAGCTTAGGGGCTACTGATTGCACGAATTAGTATAAAATCGCTATTAATAATGAAAAAAAAAGTAATATACATTAAATAAATTGTCTATAATGCTANATTTAAAAATAATAAAGTAGTAATTAAAATTTTATCCTTTACACCAACTGAAACCAAAACTTATTAAAATCAAATCAATTAAAAATTAAAACGTTTTTAAAAATAGTTTAAATGTTGGGCTTTGAAATTTTAAAATTGTAAATCAAATTAATTTTTAAATTTATGTTATTTGTGTGTGGCTATGACAGAACATTTTGCTTTTAATATATATACACACATAAATTATTAAAAATAGTACAAAAACTAAAACTAAATCTGTATTCTGTGTATAGTATCACCAAAGATTATTATTGAAAATTCAAACTTAAAGAATAGATGTTAAGGAAGCAAATGAATAGCCATCTCTTCCACTCCAAATCTGAATTAAAAGTGAAGTCTTTTTGTGTATCCTTCTATTCCTACAAAGACTCTCCTTCCCTTTGTTAACCCTTTCCACAAATTTATATCAGTATGCAGAGGAAGTTAATGGGTGGGTGGTCTTTTCAAGGAATGAATTGTAGACCCCACTCGACACTTTTTTTTTGGTAAGTGTTGATTTTGGTGGGGACTGAACATTTTGCTTTTAATATATATATAATATACAGATATGCAAATGTCCATCTACAAGTTTGCTGTGATATTAACAGAAAACCTCTTAGATTTGATATCAAACTAAATTCATATGATCATCATGGGTTTGATCATTGACCATGAGGTCACCAATTTAATGTCCTGCTATGCAATAATATTCAGCAGAAATTAGGAGGTTCCTTCAATGACTCATATCCATAACATGAAACATGTTGGATGTTTCATGTGATGGTCATTGTGTATGGTGAAACACTCATCTGCAGTGAAATATTTATGCCACTTATTTTGACTAATTACAATAAATATAAGAATATAACAATTATTTCGTTAAATTATTGAAATTATGAAAATATGTGTGTATAATTAAATATATTTTATATATTGCTTATTAATTCATTGCAGTTTTTGTCATTTTGTAAGAAATTCTTCTAAGCAACTTCCACAGAGGAATAGTTCTAAAGAATCAATAAATATTTCCTCTATGACATGAGTGATATCAAAATCTTAACAGTGCAAGATTGGTAAAAGAAAGATTGGTAACATGACTATAGAAATTCATATGACAAGTTGAAAGTGACAGAATTGACTAGATTGTGTGTAGCCTAATACAGGCTGGATAACCAAACCAATAACAATGCACATTAAATGAAATGGACTATGTAATCAGTTTGCTTATACAGCTAAGCCAGTACTAGGCAACACACATTGTGACATCAGCTTGATATGCATATATAAATACTGTATATTAAATTACTCATTACAAATAATCTTGGGGTAGAATGAAATTTTCTTTTGTACCTTGTAGAAGTTTGCAGTAGCAGTATAAACACAAACTATTAATAAGTTACATAAAATTATGAATTCAACTGTTTGTTTATGAATTTTTTCCTTCAAAATACATTTTAATAATATGAAAATAAATTAAAACTTTTAATTATATCAAAACAAATTAGCTATAATGTAATTTTAGAAATCCATTTTACAAATTTAGATTCAGCATCTGCAGAAAGTACTTATTAAAAAAAGAGATCCAGTAACCCATGTTTGTTTTTTAGATGAATTGAAAAAGGTAAAATGTGTTTACTTTAAAATATTTAATCATCTAAAGATATGTTATTTAAAAATGAAATTTTTATATTTAGGATCAAGATAGTGATATTGTACAGAATTTTTGGGAGATGATGACAGAAATTTTAACTAAACAATTTGCTGATGCTGCAAAAGGTAAATATTTGATTTATCAAATTGTCTGATTCTGATATCAGGTACAAAGCATGGTGCATCAATTTCAGAATCAACATTCATCAAACAGGCTTTTGAAGGAGAATACCCCAAACTATTACGTCTACATACTGATCTGTGGAAACGATTACAGCAGTTGAATGCAATATCTCAGACCAGTATTGAAGCTGTTGTGAGTTCTCAGGATACATGTGATGAATCTACTGCAACTTTAATGAATTTCAGGTAAATTGGTTAGAAATTTAACAAATGTTTCCAATTTACCTGAAATATATCTGGAAATAATTTTTATTAGACCAGATCAAGCTCTTCATGCAACTTTAATTCCATTTGAAAATGCATATCTTTCTCGTTCTCTCTCCCGTCTGTTTGATTCTGTGAATGTTGTATTTTCGGTTGGAAGCCAAGACGCACCAACAAAAGACGACGTAGAAAACATCATAAAAACTATATTTAGGTAATATCGTTTATAAAAAGTAATATAAATGAAATAAATTGTAAAGTTTTGAATATGTTTAGTGAATTGAATGCAGCAAATATCAATTCCACTCTGAGTCAGATCATTGCAAAAAATGTAGCCAAAACTGTCCAGCTATTTACTGTGAAATGTGAACAGCTCGTAAGTATGACACTTAGCTTCACTTAAAGTAATTTATCCAAATTTAAAATGATCATCTTTTCTAGATAACAACAGATGGAGATGCAATACAAGTCATTGGCCCACCTACATCTAGTCAAATATTAAATGCAACTATTGTTAACATACTTTATTTGTTTCATAAAGAACTTTCTGATGTAAGTAATTTCATTATTTATTAGAATATTAGTTTAATAAATTTAAAATGCAATATTTTTGGCAGATGCTTAGTAGATATACCATGTTTCCTACTGAAACAGTAAATATTATAGAAACATCTTCACAGGTATAACAAAAATTTGTTGATAGTTAATATAAAATATCAATCTTGCAAGTTCTTAATTGTTTTATAATTTTAGTCCATGAAAACGTACATGAGAAATGCAGTTCAACCAATCTTAACTTCTGTAAACAGTTCAATTGAAGCTATTATTGCAACCATGCATAAGGAAGATTTCTCCAGGTTATTTTGATTTTTAAATTTTTGTGAACTTGAATTAAAAAAAAATACTGATACATTTCATTAAAAAATGATAGTTCAGTGATGGAAGGAAAAACAGGGGAAGCTTGTTCTCTCTATATGAAAGAATTACAAGGTTTTATATCAAGAGCTCAAAATGATTATTTTTCAGAATTTCCAGATTGTGATGTAATACAAGAAGGGTTAGTATACATTTTCTAAAACCATTTCATGTTATGAAATGATACAATTGGCATCTTCAATTAGAATTCGACAGCTTGCATGTCGTGCCATAGAATACTTCGTTCGTCATGCCAGTCTGGTCAAACCCCTTGGCGATGGAGGAAAGATGAGACTAGCTGCAGATTTTGCCCAGATGGAAATGGCTGTGTCGCCTCTCTGCAACAAAATTGGAGATTTGGGAAAACATTACAAGATGCTGAGATCATTCAGGCCATTATTATTTCAGACTCCTTCTCATATATCACAGTCTCCAGTTTTAGGAGAAATAATTCCTTATTCAATAGCTCTACAGTTCTTATTCTCCAGGGCACCTGACATAAATTCACCACATGAAGTAAGGATTCCATGTTTTTTGTCTTGCAATTTGAAATCATTATAAACTAATGATCTTTACAGGTTGCTGGATGGTCTATTGAATACTATTCTAAATGGTTAGATGAGCATATGTCAGAAAAAGAAAGACTAGCATTGATCAGGTAAGTTTTCTGAAGAGCACAAATTTTTGTGTGTTCTTAATAATAATTAGTCCTTGTCATTGTTTTAGAGGAACTTTAGAAGCATATGTACAATCTGTAAGGCAAAGACAAGGGAAAGAATTCTGCCAAATGTATCCAATCTTGCTACAAATTTTGCAGCAAGCATTACACCATGAAAGTTAAAGTAATTATATACAAATTCAGAGAAATAATTTTATTTTGTAAAGTATTCCAGTGGAATTTTCTGATCAAATTAAATACATTTAAATAATCACATCTTTCCAGAATCTTCCTTTAATGAAACTGTGCAATTAAATATTAGCTGTAAAACAGAAACTACATTAGTTTATCAAAAAGGTATTATTTTAACAGCGATTTAACAATTACTTACATTGTCATGTGTTGAATCTGGGTCTATGCTATAATAACCTAAACGTTCAAACTGGAACTTATCAAAAGGTTTGGCTCTTTTCACAGATATGTCAACCATAGCATTCTTGATTATTTTTAGAGAGTCCTGATGATATAAAAGAAATTTGTATAGGTCATCAAAAAACTGTTATATATATTAGGCGGTTCAACTTCTGCTGAGAAACAATGGAGACCATACACTTTCCTGGGAGTGAAACACCTTCAACTCATGCATTTTGGAAAGTTTTGGCAACTTTTTCTAGGCCCATGAAGGAACAATTTTCATCACCTGTTTGGCCTTTTGAAGAAGGGGAGTATGAAAAATTGGGATATGTAACAGACACAGTTCTGGCACCACTGTTGAAATTCCAGACAGAAGTCAAATCACCCTCATATTAAAAAAAGTATAAGTGACTTTACTGGATTACAATCCGAAATGAATCCACCCGGAACAACTTCAGTGTCTTCTGGATTTTTGTGTTTGAATCTTTTTAGGAAAAAGTGTTGTAAATTATAGTTATTACAGAAATATGTAACAAAATTATACTTACAGCCTGTCATATATCCTCACTTCACACTTTGCTGGTTCAGACACCCAGTGAATGAAGGCTTTTGGCTTTTCTACTTCTGTTGCTGGCTTACACATAACTTCTAAGGCACTTATATTTCCATTTCCGTCCTGTGGCAGACAGATTTTTAATTTTTTTGTCAGTAATTGAATTTATTTAGAAATTGTTAATGCTTTACAAACCTTGATAACATTAGATAAAAAGACAACATAGTTGGCATGTTTTAATCCAACATACTGGTTTGGACTAAATCGCCTGTAACCCCGTTCTTCTACCTGAAATTTTGGGAAAGGGCTTATAAAGGAAAGTGGAGAATGACTAGGAAGATAAAATATTTTACCTCTCGGAAATCACTTCTTTCGATATAAACAATTTTTGAAAAAGGCACTTTATGATAACCTTTCTGACTTTGATTAGGAAAATTTGGAACCTCTACATCTATACTTTTATCATAAGGAAAATTCGTAATTATTAATTGCAGTGGATCTAGAACTGCCATTGCTCTGTAAATAGATAATTAAAATGTTATTGAAGCTTTTCCTTCATATTCCATTAATAATTACAATATAACTTTACAGTAAACTCTTGCTAGTCTGGTATATTCCCAATTGTGATTGTGATTGTGTGTGCATTTTATTAATGCCATATTATTTATCCATGTCACTCCCAGTAATCTGTTCAGGAAATGGATGTATTAGCAGGAGTTTACTATATTTACTTTATAAATATTATTCCCATACAAAATCTAAATTTTTGCTGTGTTATGCAATTTTTACCAGATGTTCCTAGTAATTAACTGTAATCAATGTCAAATCCATCTCTGCTTACTAGGAGGGAAAACATCTATTTACTCAAAATGAAACCTTTATTACTCTGTAATATGGTTCTTGTATATAAATGTCTCTTTAATCCAAAAACTTGTTTGGTAGACTATCTCACAGCATTCAGGTTAGAAACATCTTTATTTTAAAAATTGGATTACAAATGCATTTCGGGTTGGTTTACACTCCCAACCCCTCTTCAGTGCTGTACGANAATATTATTGAATTATTAATTTATTTTTCTGTTTTATAAATGCTTATTTTTTTAAATTTTATTTTAATCTTTATAATGTGTTGTAAAATATCGGATTTTTCCCCTCTCCATGTTCGAATTTTATGCATTATCATATATATTACAGGGGGAAAAAAAAGTAATAAAACGTTTCTCTACATTTCAATATTTTATATGGTTTATGTGATAGTGACAGCGTTGAAATCTTACACACGATACTTATGGTGAAAATAAATTATGCATAAGTCCACCTGAAATTAGATTAGGCCTTGAAATATACTTCCATGCAGGTTTTTTTTACGAAACAAATGATATAAAATATTTCCCTATCTGATGTAATAAACCAGGGAGGGAGAGAGAGAGAGAGTTTGGAAAATGTTTAGATTGATTATTTATACTTTTGTATAACGTATATAATTATTTTATCAATAGAATTATAGGAAAAAAACTCTAAAAATCGCGTAGGTCTAAACAAGCCACGTTGTCACACACGTACCACCTGTGGCACGTGACACATCAGGTATAACACGAATAATATTTCTACACTGCATAATGAGTTAATATACACGTCACGCATCTAATAATCAATTTATATTATAATTATATTCGATAGTTTAAAAAATATTTATTCGTTTGAATTCGAAAACGAATGCGAGTCTTTTTTTTTTTTTTTTAAACGGTTGTCTTCTATGAAATAATTCGTCTGTTATGCAGTTTATAACGGATTAATGACAGGCCGTACAGTTATAGGAAATGATGATAAGGCGTTTAAAGTAATCAATAACACTACGTACTACGCAAACGTCATTGAAGTAGTCATCACGCCACACTTGTTTACTTCCCAGGGTTCCGAGATACTTCAAAAAATAATTTAAGTCGTCCATGATGCGTAAAGTTTAGAAAAACAGGTGCCGAATCACGTGATCAGAAAGAAAACCGGATTGTTCCGGACTTACTATCAATTTAATTCACTTTATCAATCTTCTATGTTCGTACGCGCTTCCAAAAGATTGAATCTTTTTAGACTTTGTCCTTTAACTAAAAGATAAGAAAATTTTTATATTAATAAAAAAAAACAATAAATTAATTATACGAAAACACAATAGCTTTAAAATACCCTAAAGGTTATTAAGTCTGAGGACATTAGCATTTTTTCCCCGAATTTTTTTTTTTTTTATTAAACTATTAGAAAAGATAATTGCGATAACGAGCTGTAATTATGAC